TCGTCTGCCCCTGGCTCTAATAAAGAATGGTGATGTTGTCATGCCCACTGCCCAATAAGCTCTGTACACTGTACGGGGACAGTTAGGGGGAGAAGCAGGTTCGCTTAACCCACACAGAGGTGTACCTCCGGAGGACCTCTGCCATTCAGCTGATGTTCTGTTTATACCCAGGCTTATCCCTGTACAAGAGAAACGGGTGAGTCAGCCAAAACGAAGCATTACTGACCAGCAGAAGAATTCAGCCTCATTTTGGCCGTTTGGCTGGGGAAACATATTTATGTTCTGTGCCACTGAGTCAGTTCTGAGTTACTGCAACCCTAGTAGGCTTTTTCTGAGACAATGGAGCAGTGGTTTAACCATTGGCACCCCACCCCCAATGAGTTTCCATGATCGGGTGAGGATTCAAACCCAGCTCCCGTCCCGGAGTCCTACTCCGACACTCAATCCACTACATTACATTTCTTCTCGGCCCCCACACTGGCTCTGGGAGGGTAGCGTCCTCCAGATGTCCTTGGAGTGGCAGCTGCCATCATCCTGCACTGGCTAGGCTGATGCAAGTCACCCTGTAGCCACTTCGGACTCTGGCAAAAATAGCTGGGAGATTTGAGAAGCTCCGAGGGAGAAGCGGCTTGTCGAAGGATCTGGTTGAAAGATTTCTCTATTGGCCGAGAAATAAACACACGCACATCGTGGAGTCCTAGCTGCGGGAAAGTTCGTGAGCCACCAGAGGCTTGATGTAAACCAGAACGCTTCTCCCATATCTCCCCCCTCCTTTCTAATATTTTCCCCCACTGTTTATATCAAATTTTCCAGATCGGTGCACAGCATTTTCTTCCCTTTTTTTGCTTCTGCTGTCAAATAAATTTCCAACCCCGTTCTCGATGGAATCTCTAGACGGCGACGGAGCTAAGGATCGGATCAAGCAGGTTGATTTGTTACCCCAGTCTCTGAAAACCCACATCTACCTCTACAGGTCTGCTCCCTCCATTCCAGGGCAGCGTTTAGGGGGAAAAAATGCATTTTTAGATTACTGAGAATCCTCCTGCATGCTTGGTGGCTAAGTAGGGGATTCTGAGAGTTGTAGTCCAGTGGCTGGATAGCTCAGTGGTTTTGGTCTCTGGCTATGGGGCCAGAGGTTGGGAGTTTGATTCCCCCACTGGGCCGCCTTGACAGGGGCTGGATTGGATAATCTCACAGAGTCCCTTCCAGCTCTGCAATTCTGAAGTTATTATTTTTATTAAAAGGCACATTTTTCAAGCTCTGGATAAACCTCTAGCAGAAGGGCTTTGAGAGGTGCTACTGAATTAGGAAACCAAGAAGCCCAGCAGCAAAAAAAAAAACTTCACCAAGCAAGTTCAGTACTTCATGATGACATGATTATGGGTGAGCTTGCAGGGGCGGTGATGTGCGTGGCCATCCAAACGGATTCAAAAACAGCCTTCTCCAGGCTGGTGTCCTACAGATGGCGGATTTTAACTCCTCTTAGTTCTAAGCAGTGTAGCCAAAGACAGCCTTCTCCAGCCTGGCACCTTTTAGATGTCTTGGACTCTAGTGCCCATTATCCCCACTGCTGTGAGTCAGGGTTTTTTTTCTCTCTCTCTTTTGGAATGTTACAACCTTACATGCTGCCTCTAGTAGGCATGGCTGGGAGTTTGCTTTCTGGACTGTTGGGACTGTCAATCTATCCAGCACTAACCAATAGTTCCCTCCTGCCTCTGAATTCAGACAGCCCCGCCTCTCTGCTGTCTGTCTCTTTTCCTCTCGGTTACCTCTTGGGAGCAGTCTGTCCGTGGAAGCAAGCAGTTTGTAGCTGAAAGTCAGTGTTCAGTTTGCTGTTGATCTGTTCAACAGTAAGCAATGCAACGTTTTATTCTTTCTCCAGATAATGTCTTGGAGTGAATTGTTGAGACCGTTAAGCGCCACGTGATGAGGAAAAGGGGTGGACTAAAGGTAAAGGTTCCCCTTGACAATTTGTCCAGTCGTGTCTGATTCTAGGGGGCGGTGCTCATCTCCATTTCCAACCCATAGAGCCAGCGTTTGTCCAAAGACAATATTCCGTGGTCACGTGGCCAGCGTGACTAGACATGGAACGCCGTTATCTTCCCACCGTGGTGGTACCTATTTATCTACTTGCATTGTGCATGTTTTTGAACCGCTAGGTTGGTGGGAGCTGGGACAAGCGATGGGGGCTCACTCCGTAGCTATCTTACGATTGCAGGTCTTCTGCTCTTACAGCACAGAGGCTTCTGCGGTTGAACTTGAAGCTAATTCTGTCCTGTGAATCCCTGCACGTCTGCTGTGCAGCTAGAGGAATTGAACCAAAATTGCAAAGCTCTGCAACGTGTCCAGCTTATAATTGGACATAAAAGTTGGGGGGAACGAAACTTGCAATTAGAAGTCGATCCCTGCCTATTAAAGTCGTTCCATTTCTACAGCACCGAGGCTTCTGCGGTTGAACTTGAAGCTAATTCTGTCCTGTGAATCCCTGCACGTCTGCTGTGCAGCTAGAGGAATTGAACCAAAATTGCAAAGCTCTGCAACGTGTCCAGCTTATAATTGGACATAAAAGTTGGGGGGAACGAAACTTGCAATTAGAAGTCGATCCCTGCCTATTAAAGTCGTTCCATTTCTTTTGAGTTGCTCTCTGTCAGCTTCTAATGGCACAGTTTTTTTAAAAAAATCTGCACATTCTGTGGGTGCACCTGGTTGGAGAGGAATAAAGTGTTGCCGGGGAGGTTAAAAACGTATCCTTCCAAAGTATTGTTGAATGGCGACTCCTATTGGCCTTCATCCTTGGCTGTATTGGCAAGGATGCGTGAAAGTCCCGCTCTGACACATCTGAAGGGCCACATGTTCGGCCTGGCAGACAGAGATCCTTGCTACTTCTTTAAAAATGGTTGCACAGGGAGCAACAGCTCTGTCATATACACCAATCAGACAGATGCATGGGGCACATTTTTATCAGGGTGCTATGAGATGCGAAAGCTAGCTGTAGAGCCTCCATGTACACATGCAGATTACCTCATATTATTGACAATATATGCCGTTAAGTGAACTCTTCACGGGAGGTGAGGAATGAGGAGTTTGTCTTATGGAACAAACAGATGCCTTTTGCCTTTTAAGACAGCTCTGCTTTTAATGATGTGCTAAGTATAGTGTCTTGCTGGCTGGATAGCTCTGTGGTTTCGGTATCTGGGTGCGGAGCCAGAGGTTGGGAGTTCGATTCTCCACAAGGTCTCCTGGGGGAAGAGCCAGCCTGGGTGGCCTTGGGCCAGCTGCACAGTAGTCCCAGGAATCCTCCAGAAGAAGGGAATTTGAAACTACTTCTGAGTATTCTTTACCTGGAAAACCCTGAAATGTATGTAAGCTGCCCCAAGTAGACCTGGTCTAGAGGGACGGTGTATAATCTAATTAAAGTAAAAAAGTAAAGTAAAGAAAAGGGTCAACGTATGTCAAAATTGACTTCATGGCACATTCTTCTTCTTCTTCAAAAACACATTATAAAAACCTTGACTGGTATTATATTACAGATACTGTACAAGTTTTGACCAAAAACCTAAGTACCTGTTAAATATCGGCACAGTATGTAGGAACTGTGTTCCTAATATTGCCGTTTTTTGTAGCTCTGATGATGTGATTTCTGAGATCTGTAACTGCTTATAGGACTGCGTAAATTTTCTTGATATCGTTCCCAAAGCCCTAATGACTACGGGGACCACTGGAGTATGTTTCTTCCCGAGGCAAGATGTTTCAACGGCCAGGTCTCTGTAACTTTGTTAGTTTTTCCAATCCTTTATTTTCAACTCTGGCATCCCCTGGAATTTTAATGTCAATAATGATGAGGATGTATGTTGTCTGGTTCTGTCAGTCTTTGCTAAATTATTCTAATTCACATCATCAGGAAAAAACGGTTTTCCTGCCTATATCTGTCCTCTTGGTATTTCTTCTGAGGACGTAGAAAAGCTGGCTGATTATTGGAGGTCTCTACAGGTATCTGTTAACAGTGTTACCTTTGGTCTAAATGGGTGGGGTAGAAATTCAATAAAATAAAATAAATCGTGCTACGACAAGCTTATCATTTTACTTTTGAGAAGTAGTTTGTTACAGGTTACAGCTCCAAATGTCAGAACTGTAATTCGCGAAGGCTTTCACGGCCGGGATCTAATGGTTGTTGTGGGTTTTTCGGGCTTCTTGGCCGTGTTCTGAAAGTGGTTCTTCCTAACGTTTCGCCAGTCTCTGTAAGAAGGCCCGGGCGCTCTCCTCACGGCTGCAGTGACGGGGTGGGGTTGGAAAGGCTGTGAGGAAGATGAAGGCCCGGGTGCTCTCCTCGCTGCTGCAGCTGCGGCGACGGGGTGGGTGGTGGAAAAACGCCGGGAGGAAGAGGAAGGCCCGGGCGCTCTCCTCTGGCAGCGGCGGTGGCGATGGGTGTATGGGGGTGGGCAAGAGCCAGGGAAAATAAAATTAAAATAAAAAAGACTCCCAGGCTTCCGTTGCCGTGGGTGGGCAGGCGCTCCTGCACATGTGCAAAGCGATGAGGGAATGCGCGCACGTCTGTGGCGCACGTGCTCCCCAACCACTGTGCGCGTGCGTCAGAGAGGGCAAACGCGAAGGGCCGGCCCACCTCCCTCAGAGACTCTGCCAGTCCGCACTAGGAAAAAAGGTTGGGGAACACTGCTCTACAGGTATCTGTTAACATTGTTACCTTTGGTCTAGATGGGTGGGGTAGAAATTCAATAAAATAAAATAAATTGTGCTACGACAAGCTTATCATGTTACTTTTGAGAACTAGTTCGATACAGGTTACAGCCCCAAATGTCAGAACTGTAATTGGTTATAATTGTAGTTGCAATAGTTAACTTCATTTCCTTGTTTTTCTAAAAAGTAACTTGACCTCCTCACGATTCAACAAAACACATGCCAGTGGAGACTTTCCAACAGGTATTATGATGTGCTTCTTGCCGTCCCTAGTAACGTGCGCGTTGTGTCTTTGCCCCTCCCAGTTGTGCTGGTGGTGGTCTTCGGCATCTGCTGGGCTCCCTTCCACACCGACCGGCTGGTGTGGAGCTTCATCACCCACTGGACCGAGACGATGCAGCACATGTTCCAGTACGTCCACATCCTCTCGGGGGTCTTCTTCTACCTGAGTTCCGCCGCCAACCCCATCCTCTACAACCTGATGTCCACGCGCTTCCGCGAGATGTTCAAGGAGGTGATGTGCCACAGGCACGTTCAGACGCTGGGCTCCCGCAAGCATTCGCCCAGCAGCACCCGGGTCACCGTGCGCAGCACGGTCTCGGAGCACATCACGGGGGACAACGGGCAGCCTCTTTCCGACCTGGAGGAGTACGAGATGGATCCGGAGGGAGAGGACATGGAGGAACGCAAAGCGCCATACCTCTGAGGTGCCTCAGCCGCAGGTCAAGCTCACAGAAGTTTGCCAGCGCCCTGAGGCAGGGACCTGGTGTTTCTGTGTCAGCTACAAAGCGTGATGATGAACATGGGTGTCGTTGCATCAACGATAAACTGTCAGAACCAGTGACGAGGACGGACATGGGTTGCGTTCATTTCCCACTATTTTTGGCACTGAATGTACGCCTTGCCTCCATGAACTCACTAGAGACTCATTGGCTACCTTTTGTATCCTCGGTGTAGTGTTGCGTAGTGGAGAGAGCCATGAAGTAGGTCTCAGAAGGCCTGGGTTCGAATCCCTGCTGAACCATAGAAATTCACTGGGGGAGAGGCGGAACAGGTAAAGCTGCTCCTTAACGCTCTCACTTGCACTGAAAGCCCTCCTGGAGTGGCTACGACTTGCTTGGGCTTAACAACACATAACAACATTATGCATGGGGCACAAATTGCTCTCTTTTGAGGTCCGCGATGATTAAAAACAGCAGTGGGCTGAAAGGGAGCCTTATGCGAAGGACCTCATCACTGTAGGCCAGTATTTTGCTTTTTTGCACTTTTCCCCCTCAGCTGATTCTGGTGTTGCCTTCAAAAGGGTGTCTGTAGGAAGGATGGGGTGTTTGCCGTTGCCTTCGAACCCATGAAGCTACAAAGGATGGCAAGGTGTACGGAGGAAGCTTCTGGAAAACTCTGTGATTTCAGGGGAAATGGAGAGCATGGAATCTTCTCACCATGTATTTTGGGCTAAGGAGAAGGTTGGAGAACTCCTCTCTGATGTCCGACACCTGTCTACAGACTCCATCTGTAGCTGCTTTCCACAGCCTGGAAAAGTTACTTTTTTGGACGACTGCCTCTAGAGATTCCCTGGCCGCTCCCAAGCTCTCACGCTTTTCTTACTGTGTGTGCCGACTACTGTCGCTCCCGCAAATGTAATTTATCCCACAGGTAGAGAAACACAGACCTGAAATGTCGTGGCCGGTGCAGAGAGACCTCGAGCGCTTGAATTCTCTACATCGTTGTGGGTTGGTTCGTTTGTTTCTTTTATTAATGCCCTGCAGGTTCCAACAGGTCGATAAAAGTCAAGGCTAGCCAACGTTTAGAAAACTAGTAATAAAGGGGGGGGGGAAGCAAAACTGTGATTGTTAAAACACAGGAAGAGAGAGCCAAAAGGAGCGGTAAGGAAAAATAGCTTGATCAACTGACTGCAGATTTAAAAATAAATACCTGGTGGCTGAACTTAAGACATAGTAGATACCGTCTGAAGTGAGGGTCCAGAACTGCTGGATAGCTGAGGGGTTGAGGCATCTGACTGTGGAGCCAGAGGCTGGGAGTTCAAATCCGCCATTGTGCCTCCTTGAGAGGGGCTGGACTAGATGATCCCATAGGGTCCCTTCCAGCTGTGCCATTCAAAGGTTGCTGTCGTCAAGGTAGACTTTTCTTCTTATGTGTCACTTCTTGTGATGTGTCACCTCACTAGACAAATACCACATTCAGGGTAGAAACTGGAATCATGTGAGACAGAGGAGGAAAGATTAAATCTCAGCTATCGCTGCAGTCCAGGATTGCTGTTACTACGCTGTTGCGGTGGCTTTACTGTATGTACACCTCGTGGCATCGATCATCACTACATTTCAGAAGATATGTGTCAATAGGGAAGATCCATCTGCGTTGTTCTATCGGTGATGCTTGAACACCTGCCAACTTGTGACATATCACAGCTGTGAAGCAGCAAACTCTATTTGCTGGTGTAATTCCTGTGACTTGCATGGCTAACAGTTCCGAAAAATTTGTGCTTCTAACACTTACCCAGAAATTGGAAAATTTGCTTATTTATGCTGGTTGGGGGGGATCCTGGCACTGCAGTCCGCAACAGGAACTTTCTTTTTTGAGCTCTGAATATTCTCCTTTGAAGATGGAACAGCACTAACGTTACTGCCTAGAATTATATTTTCATGTTGTTTTATGATATGCCCATGGAACATTGGGCACCTCCTTAGAAGGCAGGATTCTCTGAAGAAGACAATAATGGTGGGAAAAGTGGAAGACAGCAGGAAAAGAGGAAGACCACATACGAGATGGACTGAGTCCCTAAAGGAAACAACAGGCTTGATTTTGCAGGAACTCAGCAGGGCTGTTGAGGGGCTGAGTCATGAATCTGGGATAAAACACTACATCTTAAGCAGAGCTTGGAGAACTTGTTGGCCTGTCATTCTTTGACAGGAGAAGTTGGTTACTCCACTAACATCATTTGGAAGTCACTTGCTTGTGATGCCAACTTATGGGGAAATATCCCCATAAGTAGTGTGGGAAATGCAGCAGAGAATAGGTAGAGAAGTAGTACAGGGTTACCCGGCTACCTTGGATGAATTTAAGTCTCCTGGGCCGGACGAATTGCATCTGAGGATATTGAAAGAACTGGCAGAAGTAATATCAGAACCATTGGCAATCATCTTTGAGAATTCTTGGAGAACAGGGGAAGTCCTCACAGATGGAGGAAGGGCAAATGTTGTCCCTCTCTTCAAAAAGGGGAAAAAGAAGACCCCAATAATTATCGCCCCGTCAGTCTGACATCATTTCCTGGCAAGATTCTAGAGAAGATCATTAAGCAGACAGTTTGTAATTACTTAGAAAGCAACGCTGTCGTCACTAGAAGTCAACACAGGTTTCTCAAAAACAAGCCATGCCAGACTAATTTGATCTCTTTTTTTATATAGAGTTACAGACCTGGTGGATGAAGGGCCCGCTGTGGATGTAGCATGTCTTGATTTCAGTAAGGCCTTCGACAAGGTTCCTCACGATATTCTTGCAAAGAAGCTAGTGGAATGTGGGATACATAGTGCTACTGTTCGGTGGATTGACTGACCAAACCCAAAGGGTGATCACAAATGGCTCCCCTTCATCCTGGAAAGAGGTGACGGGTGGGGTCCCCAGAGTTTTATTCTGGGTCCCGTGTTATTCAACATCTTTATCAGGGACTTGGATGAAGGAATAGAGAGTATGTTGATTAAATTTGCAGATGATACCAAATTGCAGGAGGACAGGATTAAAATACAAAATGACCTTGACAGATTAGAGTCCTGGGCCAAAACTAACAAAATGAATTTCAATGGGGTTGAATGTTGCCGAAAAAGGTCTGCATAGTCAAAACTATGGTTTTTCCTGTCGTGATGTATGGAAGTGAGAGCTGGACCATAAAGAAAGCTGACCGCCGAAGAACTGATGCCTTTGAATTGTGGTGCTGGAGGAGACTCTTGAGAGTCCCCTGGACTGCAAGGAGAACAAACCTATCCATTCTAAAGGAAATCAACCCTGAGTGCTCACTAGAAGGACAGATCCTGAAGCTGAGGCTCCAGTCCTTTGGCCATCTCATGAGAAGAGAAGACTCCCTGGAGAAGACCCTGATGTTGGGAAAATGTGAAGGCAGGAGGAGAAGGGGACGACAGAGGACGAGATGGTTGGACAGGGTCATTGAAGCGACTGACATGAATTTGACTCAACTCCGGGAGGCAGTGGAAGACAGGAGGGCCTGGCATGCTCTGGTCCATGGGGTTACGAAGAGTCGGACACGACTTGACGACTAAACAACAACAACAAAAAAACTTGGGGGGTTGGAGAAAGAAAAGGAGCAGGGAGAGAGAGCCTAAGGCCCTAATGGTGTGATCTGTTGACTCAAAGCCCACACAGCAGCCATCGTTCCACTGTTACTCACACATTCAGTCCTAATATCACAATGGAACCCATGACTTCGGAAGGTGGGGAGTGCTCCAACGCTAGAGGGCTTCAAGAGAAAGTTGGATCACCCTCTGTCAGATCTGCTTGGATTTGGATTCTTGCATTGAGCAAGGGGTTGGACTCGATGGCCTTGCAGCTCCCTTCCAACTCCATTGTTCTACAATTCTATGAATAATATACTGCTAAATGACCCTTTTTGTTAAAAAGTTTGCTAAGCTGATCTGAGTGTGTAGCGGGGAGAAGCAGCAGATATGCAAATCAGTTTGCCCCACAGCTCTGAGAAATAACCTGCCAGCACAACACAAAAAGAAATAATATTTAGGATGAGGACAATTTTGTAAACTAAGCTGAATGGAGAACATGAGAAAGAAGAGAGAGTTCTAACGCAGTGCTTCCCAAGTTTGAGAAACCAAGTTGTTTTGGGACTGCAACTCCCAGAAACCCCAGCCAGCACAGCTGGTGGTGAAGGCTTCTGGGAATCGTAGTCCAAGGATACCTGGGTTGTCCAAGGTTGGGAACCTAGCATTTCATCTCAGTTCTTAGGCATTGGCACCACAGGTCTTGCATGTCCCACCTGGCGGGCTGCCCTACTCACTGCCTGGGGTGTTCTCCATTTCCAGCTGGCCAATCCAAGCAGAAGCCCAGACTTCCCTTCCTTTCCCCGCCTCCTCCAGCAGCCAACCACTCAGGAGAGGAGGCAGGATGGGGATTCTCCCTGTGTAGCCAAGTGAGTGGTCAGCTGCTGGAGGAGGCAGGGGTAGCCAAGTGAGTGGTCAGCTGCTGAAGGAGGCAGGGAAGGGACCAAACTGGACAACTGGCGATAGAGAATGACCCCGGGCAGCATGCCAAGGCTTCTGAGTGGGGCAGCCAGCTGAGGGGTGGTGTGGTGGAGTGAACACACAGCACCTGTGGTGCTGTATGGGGGACTCTTGGGTTGCACTGCCCAGGGCAGATTTTGGGCTTTATTAGCCAAGTTAGCCAAACATTCTAGATTGTCGTGTGCTTCACAGCAGATAGCCAAACCAGCTGAAGGACAACAGAGCTGCCCCACTGCCCATGGGGACTTGTGTTTGGTTGGTAGTTGGGTTCAGGCCAAGCAGTATCCCCAGAAGCAGCCTCCAGCCCTACCAGAGATGCACCATCCCCTGAAATGATGGGGTGAGGTCCACCACCCCCAATTCAAACCATGGCTCACAATTTATCCCTGCCCACCTCAAAGCCAACCTTACTTTCCAGTGATTGGAAGGTTTTGCAATTAGTCTACAT